TCGACCCTCTCGTCGAGTGCTCGACTCGCGTGCGCCATGTCTGGCAGACAGCGTGTTGCATGGGGATGTACCATACCCCGCTCTGGGACGCGCTGGAACTGGCTTGGGAGCTGGTAGTTGTGGCGTTGAACTTGACTATCAAGGGGCAAAAGGAGTTGAGTGAACAGGAACATCATCAGAGGCGTTCGAGGCAGCCTATTGAGCCTGTTGGGGATGCGTGATATATGAAGAGCTGGGGGGGGCTTCAGAGCAGAAAAGAGATCGTCGAAAAAGAGTCGTAGTGATGCGCTTCCAGTGTAGATGCCATAACAATCGAATTGTGTTCCTGGCTCGGACTCACGAGTACAGTGAGGTATAGTGTTCATTGGACTGGATCGATCTAGCAGGAGGGGCGCGATCGGATAAGGAAGACATTCGAAAAACTGTCTCCCGCCGCCCAGGGGGAGCCCTAAATCTATGAATCATCCAGTCTTGAATGTCGATCTTGAGTCTTGCCGACAGGTATGCCAGTTCGAGCTGGCAAGAAGTCAAGACCTCACGCGTTTCTTGCTCTTACGGTCGTCTTTCTGGTGCCGGGATAGTCAGGTTAAAGTACTATCTGATGCATTTGATGTGCGAGACTGCACCCACTTGAGGCTGAGTTGAGGCGTTTCGCAGGTCGTTGAACTGCGACCGGCTCGGCGTTCTCGGCGAAGTTGCATGTGGCTGTGCTTTTGGTTGAGATGTTCAAATTTCCGCACCCGTGCGGAGTGGTACAAAACGTCCCGTTTTCTGTGTCAAGTAGATAGTGTGCCTGAGTTAGATACACCGAATCAGTGCGACTGACATCGACATCATTACTTTTCCATCTTTCCAAAGCTTCACTCCCTTGCTGGACATACTTTCGGCCACGCTTGAGAACCTAAGTAGATCATTAACCCCTCCGGTCTTCAGGCCCTTTTACGCATGGATTTTTAGCGCGAGTCAATCAAGGAACTGCCTGAATGACTTGTTCCATGCGTCGTCCATGTCGAAAACCAGAGATTTGGGTTTCAAGAAACGCACTTCCGAGTCTGATGCTCAACCACCCGAGCGAGAATTACAGCACCGAGCTTCTATATAGAGAGAACTGAGCGGACATGCGCCGGTGCTGAACCTTGAATAAGCACATCTTTTCGAAGGAGATCTTGCCGCCCTATTCTGAGAGGACGCTCATATCATATCATCGTGGCACACGGGCAGAACCAGCATGCTCTGCAGACTGCAGATCTACCAGAGGAATTCCGGTGGTAGATTGCCGGAGACAAGGGGACCTCGACGGCCACCGTCGTAGATTTAGCCTCGCGCCTCGAAAACATATCCAGATGCAATATGCACAGGCTAGCTCTCCAATTCGGCACAACAGATCGAATAACGCGGGGCGCTGCACCATGATACGCATATCGACTCGCCTTCATACGGAGTGCAGGGGCTGCATCGCAATCACCTGCTTGAAGATCTCCAGGGCTGCCACAGGCTGGAACGCGGGCTGGAAGGATAGACAACTCAACCAGCAGCACGTCCCTCCCACGGGAAGCACTCACCACCTCGTGGCCGGCCGCGTAGACTCGCCTGGAATGGATTTATCATACAAGGTCTCAAGCCTGATGACGCGACTCACGCGAAGGAGAAGTTGTCGACGTTCTTAATCGCGGCGACGGCGGAACCGTCAATCGTCATGTTAGTGAACGGGGTTGCTGCGAGCCGCGCCTTCCCGTACCAGTCCATCGCCAGGACCGATGCGTGGCCGCCCAGCCAGTTGCAGCTATCGACCGATTAACCGAATAATCCGTTGGAAGGGTGAAGTCCTTACTTGATGTCAGCGTCTCCGGCCTAGGTAAAATACATGAGTACAGCGAGGGTGAAGATGACTGAAGGCGCATACCCAAATGAGGATCTTCAGGGTCGAATTTGCGAGCGCGCCGAGCTGGGGGAGCCAGGTCCGCGCGTCCTGGCGGCATAGTCAGCCAACGCGCGAAGCGGCGGTGTCGTGGCGCGTACGTCTCCCGTGCGCGCGAAGAGCCTAGACGGCGCGTTGGCACATTCCGAATACGTGCTCTCCGCGCCAATCTGCGCCTTGACGCTCGCGAGCGCGAGGTAGTCGAGATAGAACTCGGGCGGGAACGGCGCGGACGAGTTCTGCCGCAGGTCGTCTGAGTCGCGGTTCCCGACCGCGGGTACGAACAGGTTCTCGACCTGCACGAGTCAGTAAGGTCTCTCCTAGTCGTTCGAGGCGGAGGGCTGGGCATACACAGAAGTTATCCGCCTTGACACAGATCGTGTTGGATGCGGACGAGTTCCCGGCGGCGTAGCACGCTTGTTCCTGCTCCTGGCAGCCAGCCGGCGCGAAGAACGAGGTGTTCATCTTCTCCAGGACCGAGTCGCTCTGCAGCTGGCCGTACCCCGGTGCGTCCGTCGCGAAGGTCAGATAGGCCAGATTTTGGATGAGCGGGTCGTACCACCCGCTGCACATCGAGTCAGAGAGGACTCAGCGTAACGAAATGGAGAGAGTATACTTGTTGACCATCAACGCGCTGACTACGATGGGAACGCCGGTCACTGTGCCCTCCGCGATTGCCGCATTTTGCTGATCGAAGTAAGTCACGAAAGCTGGGCTGTCATTGGGTCAAACGATGTGCGGAGTTGTTTGACGTCAGCAAACCCGTAGTGGCCCCCGTATGATTCTATACGGCCTCAATCAGCCTGCGCTGGAACACTAGATGGCCCCTTACCAGTGGCGAAAATGAATCTGGCGAAAAGTCAGCTGTAACTCTTGCGCCAGCGGAGGTACCTACTCCCGGCTCTGGTACTGCGCAAATTCACCGCTTTCAAAGAGCACCTGGAATACTTTCCAGAACTGGACGGCTGCGCTCTTGAGTGATCCTTCAGTAACCTGTTCAATCAGTCAAGTTTAGGCTGACCTCGGTGCTGTTGACAGTGTCCGTTCCAAATGAAAACCCGGTGCCGATGGGCTGGTCGATATAAATCACTGTGTGGAGTTCAAGCGCGAGTCGTGCTCGTGCATACAAATCAAGACGCACTGTTGCTAATACTGTTCCAGCTGAGGGGTGCGTTTAGGGCCAGCCTTGTGTGATCATGGGAGTTTTACCTGAACGGATTCAAGGTGGTGGATTCTCCATCGGGATTCACGGTACACGGCCCATGTTCTGCGGCCCATTATGCCGATGAAAAAGCGATTCCCGGAAATGACTTGCCTTGGAACAAGCCCTTTCAGAATCGCCTTGAGTGATCGTCGACACGATTGACGAGTAACTCACGATCTCGGAAGCGCATCCCGGGCCACCGTTGATCCTTTGCTCTTATCAGCAACTTCTATCCGGCGCGAGACGAGCTGGAACACACCAGAGAGTAAACGGCGCCGTCTCCGGCGCCGTGCGTGATGCAAAGAACCAGAACCACTAGCGGTGGTGAGCGCCCCGGGCAGAAAAGAGCAAGAAATAAACGCACAATCGACATGTTCTCCCCGATATCGACATACCCCGACATCTGGTGCACCCCAGGCGTCGTCTCGCAGATCCCCGAGTTGTTGACGAAGCGCAGCGCTACATCGGCCTGGAGCTCAGACTTGAACTTGTGCTTGACAGCCAAGGGGGTCGCGTAGGCCAGGAGGGGGCACCCAACTGCAAAGAGAGCAGAAAAGAGTATGATGGGGCCAGGTGTGGGCCCGATTTCGAGACACCGCAGGTTTTTAAGAAGTGCGGCGGCGCCGGACCGCATGCAGTCTTTGCTGGAAGCTGCGATAAGGCCTCTGTTCTATATTTTTGGTTCGTCTACGCGCATGGTAGCATGGTTAGCCGTCGCACGGCATGGCCGTGAGGTGGCACGAGAGAACCTCTGAGAAGGAAGACGTAAGATGGCTGGTGTCACGGTCACGGTCATGTGCATTACTCACGTCGCGACTGACCCGTGATCACTGCCAGACTAAATTAAAATCAGGAGCTACGTCCTGCCAATGTTTGGTGTTTATTCAGGTAAAAGTCAGCTGCGCCGTAGCGCCAAGACTCAGATATTCCTTAATTTTTATCTCCCTGAATCTACGTTGGTCTCTAGGGCCTCTGCAGGCTGCAGCTGCCAACTGCCATTTCTACATCTACTTACTTATGAATCATGATCTCTCCGACAAGGCGCGAGAAAGTGCAACCCTCAACGCCTCCACCACTGTGGGACTTGAAGGCGGGGACAGATTTGCAGTAGTGCAGACAAGCGAGAAACATCTACCTGGGACGGAGCTACGATAATCGTCATCATGACACTAACGTGATCCACGATTCGAGGCACACTGTATGTAGTATGCTTACGCTTTCTATCGCGTCCGATTCGAAGCAAGCTTACACATTTCAGGCCCCTTACTTTATGCTCATCTGTCTAGCTTCAGTCATTTAGCAGACAATATAGGCCAGCTACTGGCTTTTTGGACCTGAACAAACGAAAATCGAACATTTGAACAATAGGTACAGCCACCGGGGACTTCCGCGCCGGGCGCTGAACCGAGCAGTCTCAACGGTTAGGTTCCGAAATCAATCCAGTTTCCATTAGAGCAAATCTGGAAGAAAGGGGGGGAGAGCTGGGAGGTAATGTAAGGGGAGGGGGTTTGTGTTTTCCAAGTCAGTCGGATTAAATCTGAGTCATAAACAGTGGTCTGAAGACTGAATGAGGAGGCGGATGGGGGCGATCATATTGAGTAGCACGGGACACGGCCGGCGTCGAGGACTTGAGTGATTCCGGCTAAGACGAATGGCGGATTCGAGTATTGTATGAAGAACCGAGCTGCGCCCTTCGTTGCAATGCTGTACAAGTTCGTCATGCTGGAGAATCAGCCACCATGAAAAGAGGGAGCTTTGCGAGTCCCCCTCATATTCAGCTCTTCAGATTTAGTTATAGAACAAGCGATATATGCTAGCTACTGGCCTTTGAACTTGAACAATTGAATGTCGAACATTTGAACCTCAAGCACAGCCACCGGGTGCTTGGCGCAATGGTTAGCGTGTTTGGCTTCGATGCCTAGGATTCCGTACCAAAAGGTTGCAGGTTCGAGTCCTGCAGCGCTCAGTTATTTTTCTTGCGACATCCAAGGATTTAAGATTGTTGATTACGCGTGGCTTTTTTGGATATAGAGTTAGTTTCGGAGTAATAATTGTGAATCGTCACTGGATAAATTCCGCGCCGGAGTTGGAACCGAGCAGGTCTCAACGATTAGGTTCTACATAAATTGAATGGTTTATTGAAGAGCTCAGGTGTCCGCACGCCACATCGATATCGGAACACCTTTGCTCCAAAGGTAGAATGGACCGCATCACGAACTTGAATCTCGAAGCCGGCGCCATAATGCGCCGTAAAGAATTTTACAATGCGGCCCTCATAAGTTACTTATCGGAAAGTCGGAGAAGTCAGTCTGTAGTTGAACTTAGGCATCTACACGGCTATCCGTTCTTAAGAAGCATTAATCTGCGTAGATAGAAAGGGAATGGCACCTGGTTCCGGGAAATGCCGCGATTGGCAATGTTGATTATTTGAAGCGGCAGGAGGGCCATATATACAGGCATATATATTGTCGTGTCCCCACTAGCACCGGCGCCAATAATCAGCACGGCATGTGGAACGACCCGCTCCCTTCGCCGCAATGCAATGTGGCCGTATACAGGTACTGACTCGGAACCAAACGCTGCGCCGCTAATACGGAACAACCGCCGCATCGAGTTACCTCCATCCAATGACTCCGACTCCCCGCCTCCTATTCCTATTCCAGTAATTCTGCCACCCAAATGGAGCGTGGAGTGGTCCACCGCGCCCGCCCTGACCGGGACCGGTGACGGTGACCATCCAATTGTTCTTTCGTATGTCACTGCTGTATGTGTACACCGCGGCGCCGGACGATGACTCCGGCTATGACTCCGCGGACGCATCATTGCGATCTGCGTGATCCCTCCCTCCTCCATTCTGCAATCATTCCTGATTGTTGTTTTTGCGTTGATCGATCTGCATACCCGCTTATCTTGACAGCTGAGATGTTGAAACTCAACTGCAGCATCCCCGAATGTCGTCTTGCTCTTTCGGGCTGCGAGCCTCGTGGGGCTTGTACATGTGACGGTGCGTTAAATGCCCGAGCTTCAAGCTTCAATATTCAATTTTGATGTGAACATCGTCCAATAATTAACCATTCAAATGACATCTACCTTCACCGAATGTCGACTTTCTCGGTCAGGCTGCGAGCCTCATGGGCCTCTGGCCTCTCCTGGCGCTGCATGCACGATTCATTATTCGAATTTGATGGGTGCCACCGTCATCCGTGGAGTCCCCAAAGCAGCCTCAACATCCCCGGATGTTTCTCGTTCGGGCGTGCGAGCCTCGTGGGACGAGCCCAGGCACTGCATTCAAATACCCGAACCTTCTGCCAGTCTCCAACAAATGATCTGGAGCGCGTGCCGCTTTTACATCAATTTTGCTTGAGCAGAACACACCCCAACGCATTCTGCGAAGCATTATTGTGCGATATGTGATTTGTGATTTGTTGCTTGGATGCCGCGCAGCGCGAGCTGAAATCCAACCAAAGCACGCCAAGGGCTGCGAACACGGGGAAAACCGAACGTTGGACTCTCAAGTGCGTAGATCTCAGACTCCGTCAACACTCAGTACTCAAATTTGACATCCAAGTTGGTTTACCTCGATCTGGACTCTGCATATTTGCTTGTCTTCACAGCTGCGATTTTGAAGCCCAACCCAACTTCACCAGGATCCTGAACGTCGTCTTTCTCCGAGTTCGGGCTGCGAGCCTCGTGGGCTCCTGGCACTGCATTGAACGTTCGAGATCCATTATTCGAATTTACAAGAGGGGCGGCAACATCATTTCAGGACTCCGCAAAGCAGCCCCAGAATCCCCGAATAATGTAATATCGTTCTCGTTTCGGCGCGCGAGCCTCATGGCGCTGCACGCAAAAGTTCGAATCTGATATGAGCATCATTTCTGCGACGCGAAGAGTGTGTTCCGGAATCCGGACCCTGGGAGACACGAAGCGCCAACGCGTTCTGCGGGGCATCTGAATCGAGACCACCGGGTTGTTAGGAGGTGGATATCTGAATACTCAGGATGCGATTTTGACGGGAACGGAACAACCGATATCAGTAATCAGCACTCAGTCTCGCTCCGAGTCTGCAAAGAATGTATTTCGGACGTGCCTGTGCAGGACGCACCCCGACTCCGAAGCGTTCTGGTTTCTGGGTGCAAGAAATCTGAAATCGCCGGGCGGCGGGCTGAGATGATGGTGGCCGGAATGGGGCCAGAAAACATAAAACATAAAATTCCAACCATCGAACCAGCCGCCGGTGGACCCTTCCGGACCGCACTTCTGACGCGCGCACGGCCGGGTCTGCCAGGTACTCATATACTCAGACGGCGCCGCGTCCGCGTCCGCGTCGTGGATGTCGACGAGCGAGAGGGCACATCACCCGACTGCAAGCTGCTGTGTCCTTGTCCTTGTCCCGAAAACGTCGGCGTTGCTTGTTGCTTATAATATAGTAGCGCAGCGCAGCGCGGTCGTTTATCGGGGCCTCAAGCTCAAGTGCAGTGAAAGACTGACCTCTATATGCGGAACAAAGTAACCAAAGAATAAGCGCCACAGTTACCCGCCGCCATCCCTCTCAGTGCGAGATACACGGCGGCGGCGCGCATGCGAGAATCCTTGGAGTCTGCTCCCGCCCCGACATCCCTTCTCCCGTTCTAGTCTCCCATTCCCCACTCTTCCGCTCCTTCGTTCCAATTCCAATTCCAAACCCAGTAACCCCCCACCCCAAAACGGAAGCCGCGCCAGTGGAGCCGGGCATCGGCCATCGGGCGTCGTGGCCTCGCGCAGCTCTATTTCAAAATTATATATAATACATTTCCCAACTCTAATCAGTGGTGGTGCTCCTAGACAGTGAGCTCAGGGCACGCCAGCCTCGCCCAGGAACGCCCGGGGTGCGCTTGCAATTACATATTTGCAACTCCAACTCCAACTTCAATTTCAACTCGAACCGGCGGAACCCGCGTCACGTGTGTCGTGTTCAATATTACAAAATACCGTGCCACTCGAGATTCGAGTCCGCCATAACAGGGACACAGAGAGCTCGTCGTCGCCGCCCCGCTACATCCCCAGCGCCTGCGTTATCGCTTGATTGCATACGCCCGTGCACCCGAAGCACCAAAGAGTAAAATCGAACCATTGGTCTTCAACCAGGCACAGCCACCGGGGACTGCCGGCGCTGGGGGAGGTTGAGGTGCGGGATGAGGTGCGGGATGGATGGGGTGGGGATGGGGGGACGTGGTTTATTATTGGGTGGTAGTGTATAGCTGGGAGGTGGGTGAGGTGGGGGACGCAGGGGGAGGAGGGGGGAACAAGGGCCGCGCCCTTGTCCCGAATATGGACAGTAGGCCGAGCTCTTACATGCATCGCGGTTTTCTCGCGCTCGAACGAGGTGGCCTGGGTTCTCGAACCTATCCGAGGTCGCAGGGGCGGCGCGCGGAAGAAGGAGGGGGTCGCGGACTGAAAAACTGAAGAAGAACAAGAACAGAACAGAACAGAACAAGAACAAGCACAAAATACAAGGCGCGCCAATGCCCTTGTCCCCGAAGCGGAAGGCTGCAGCGGAATTTCAAGTTGACGAGCCCACGTGCGCGCGGCGGCGCGTTGCTAGGCAGATGCAAGTTGAAAGTATAGGGGTCGAGTACAAGGTCGAGTATAAGGTCGTTAGGGGTCGTCAGGGAGACGAGGACGAGGTGCGCAAGAGGATTGAGGAAGGGGAGGCGTGAAACTGGCTTGGTCACACAACCCCGCCGCCCGGACCCGACCCGCTGAGACGAAGCGCTCCGCCGTTCGTCCGAGGCGCACCGGCCTGCCCGGGCCGATCACCGCAGGCCTTCCATCGCCATCTTCGTCGCCCTGACGCCTGACGCAGACATCAACGGCCGCCCAGCGCGAAACGCCTTCCCGCCCACCGCCGCCCACACCCATCACTCTGGCGGTTGTGGGTGCATGTGGACCCCCCGCTTCGAACCTCGCATGTCGCATCTGATCCGAGCGTCCAAGGACCAAAACACGTCCGGCTGTTCGCGATCGCGATCGAGCTGCAAATCATGCATCTGATGCACGCGAAGTGGAATTGAATTCATTTTGCCGTTTTTGGCCGGTGGGTGTTGGTGTCTGTTGGTGGATGCAAGCGCGAGGGTCGAGGCGGTTCACACGAAACTCGGGAGGTGGACTCGACCGGGACCTTCCTCAGTAAGCCTTCTATTGGCGTATGCGTTTCATCATTAATAGTATATGATTGGTATTTCACTGGCAGGGTCCCGGCGCAAGGCGCTTTGACCAGTCTCATCTCCTGTTCCTCATCTCGCCAGGCTGTACGCACCCCCCACGCAAGGCGCGCGAAACTGCGCCCCTAGGCCGGCAGGACATCGAACTTCCCCCGGGCCCGTCCGTCTCGGCGTTGTACCTTGTGGGCGCGTGTGGGCCTCACCCTCGCTTCTCGCTTACCCACCCACCCCTCACCCACCCCTCGACGTCGCTTAGTACCCGCTCTTGACTCGCTCGCTTGCCCTTTTCTTTTGTTCTCCGCATGCGGCCTCGATCGCTCGATCGACGCGTCCCGTGCCAGTGCGTCCAGTGCGTCGTGTCCAATGGCGGGGAGGCGCGAGGATTGGAATTGATTCGAGGGTTCGGGGAGAGTCAGGCAGGTGGGTGGGTGCGTCGACGGCGGGATCGGGGTCCGCGAGGGTGAAACACGATCGATCGAGGGTGCCGCGGCGCAGCGTCCTTCCGAGTCGCTCAGACCGACCCCCGCAACATCGACGATTCGGACTCGGAGGAGGCAGCGCCCGCGCCGCAGACTGAGCGGACGCGCGCCGCAGACTATGCGGACGAGGGTGCGCGTACGTCTGGCGCGGGCTGCACGAGGGAGAATCAACGGCCCCCCTCGTTGCATGTGGTCGATCCTTCTGCAAGAGGGCCAGAGGCGAGGACAATATCGCCCGGTTCCGGGTGCATGCCGCACGGGGCACACGCGTCGCCTCCTCCGAG